TTTTTTTGGATTATTATTAAAATTATGTTTATCATAACCTGAACTAATTATTTTATCAATAGGAAATCCATGCAAACGAAAGTTTTCTAATCGATGTTCAATAAATTGAGCAGGCATTGCTGTAACACAAACTAGTTCATAGCCAGCTTGATGTAATAAATGACATGCTTCAACTGCTCCATCATGCGTTGGCATTTTTCTCCAACCATGTTCATCCCATATTCTTTCAAATTCAACTTTTTCTTCATCAGTAAATTTAACACCATACATATCTCTGGCCTATTAATCATATTATAAATGAAATTTTCAATAAATACAATTAAACTTACATGATAAGATTTAGGTGAAACAATAGTTAATTGTTTTCCGAATACTTGTTCATAAATTTGTGCAAAAGTTGTATGATAATCCAATAGAACTCCATCACAATCAAGAGCTATGATTGGTTTTTTATTTGTACTTGTAAACAATATTGTATCTTTTGTCATTTTTAAATATCAATAACAGAATTCAATCAAGTATTTATACATCATTCAGTTCCTGCCACATCATACGATTTCGTGACGAAATTTTTTCTTCTATTTGTAAATCTTGCGCAATTACAGATGCACATTGCCATTCAAATATTGCCGCAAGAAATAAATAACAGCTGGTTTTATTTATCCTATTCGTCATCGTGTTTACGGCGAAAACTAAAAGAAAATTGTTTTTTTTTCTGCGATCTACGTCATTGAATGTTATTAAGTAATATTTGAGAAACTATTCTGACTAGAATTAAACATTCTACAATGCAGAAATAATTGACGCAACTTCGACCTCTCCTTCTCCGTTTAAGATCATCGTAGCAAAGTTATTTTTTTTCTCATTGAGAGCAGCACTGGACAAAGTGATCAATCGATGAGGAAATTATTCCTGTTTATGCAGAAATGGGTCACCTCAGATAAAGCCATACATGTCGAGGAGAAATGAAAAGAAAAATGAACTTAAACATATATCTACCAACTATTATTTCATGCACTATATTGTATTTTTATCTTCTAATTATCATGGTAGTAATGGATGAATAAGATCTTGTTCAATAATTTACATTTCTGTTGGAAAAAAATCTATTTTGACTAGCATTTCTCCATAGAGTGAAATAGTTAGATGATCGAAAATCCATAAAGAAACCTTCCCTTTTCTCCTCAAAGAAATTTGTTTATTTCGATTTCGAGGTTTTCATTTCTAACAATCTATTGAAGTGTTCTCTATCAGAATGCCATGAAAATCACAACTATGGCAAGTCCTATAAAACTCTCAAATAGCTTATTTTCGAGAAACCCTATCTTGAAGTAAAACTTTATGTTTTAGTGTACTCAAAAAAGTGAGTCCACTCTAGAATCGGTCAGTATGTCCGGCCGTTTACACAATAACTTTCGAAAGGAGAGTCCGATCACGATGAAATTTTCTATACAGTTCAGTCTTTACAATATCTCGGTCGAGTTCGAGGATGAGAAGGATCGGCCGAGCCGTTCCTGAGTTATTGCAAAAATACCCATTTTCCCCTATTGCTTCCTATGGAAAAATCGACCCATCACCGCTTTCGTAAAAGACTTTTCCTATCATAGTCAATCAAAACCACAACTATTATATACCATTCGATAGAGAATTTCACGAGCTACAAAATGGTGTATAAAATATCAAGAAACAAGAAGATTAGCTCACCTATTGCAAAGATTATTAAACGGAAATTGGTTCTGTTTTTGTCCACGCTCTGATTGATCCATAAATAGAGCTATGTATTTCTTATCACAGAGATGGTACCTCGAGGTTTTGTGGGGCGGAGAACTCGAATCTGTAATTCACTTGCTTCGTAATCTCATTGGTTGAGCAGTGACCAATAGAAATCAAGTTATAGGAAAAACTACTTTCTGAGAGTAAATCAGGGCGCAGAGTTCAAATCTGATCTGTATTCGTTCCTAAATCCTATTGGTTGAGCAGTAGCCAATAGAATTGAAGTGTTTATAGAAAATGTTTGCCAGGATAATTTTGATGTCCACACATGCTAGGATGGCTCATCTCCCTAATTCACTTTTTGCAGTACACATAACCATCGGATTTAAATCCGAGGTTTCCACATTTATTATTACTAACTTTAGAGAATATCTTACCATATTTATTTTATAGGTGCGTTTATTTTCATTTGATGTAATACCATCTGAATTTTCATTTAAATGTACATTTGAATGTAAATTTTCATTCACCATATGTTTATTCTTATTTAACCCTAGTACGCCCAACATGGGTCATTTCTGACCCAGACATAAAAATTTGGAAATACACTATAATATTTTGGTAATTTCGGGTTTGGGTGGATGTGGGTGCCGGTGAGGGTGTGGGTAAGGGTGTGGATTTTGTCTTAACTCCTTCACACATACACTCACACACCCACACCCTAAAGCAGATTTTTTTGTATTAATTGTTCGAAATAAAGGACTAATATACTCTCAGTATTTTTTTCTATCAGATTGGATATAACATTAGCATCCTTTTGTCAGGATAGTGGCCTTAGAATAGAGAAAATAATTTTATAGAAGCATATATTGCTACTGTAGTGCGTAAAAAGGCACGGGCGTACTAGGGTTAATAAAAAAAATCACCAGAAAGTCTATAAAATAAAGCAAAAATAATAGAACGTCTATAGAATTAAGTGAAATAATAAGTAAAACATCTATATCATAAAATAAAATAAAATAATACGATAAAACGTCTATACAATAAAAAGAAATAATCAGAAAACGTCTATCCAATGATTATTTTACATATTTTTTTACTACTTTATTTTATTGCATAGACATTTTTTTTAAATATTTTATTCTAGAGACGTTTTTCTTGTTTTTTTTATTAATAAAAAAGTAACAAGAAAAGCGTCTATAAAATAAAACAAGAAAAAATAATAAAAAGTCTATAGAATAAAATAAAATAATAAAGAAAATGCGTATACAATAAAATAATAAAAAACTATCAAAACACGTGTACACAATAAAATAAAAAGATAAAAAAAAATCGTCTATACAGTAAAAAAAAATGCGGAAACCTCGGATTTAAATCTGAGAGTTATGTGTACTTCAAAAAGTGAATGAGACAGATGAGTCATCCTAGAATGTGTGGATATCAAAATTGTCCTGGCAAATCTTTTCTATAAACACTTGATTTCTATTGGCTACTATTGAATCAATAGGATATGGAGGCAGATACAGCTCAGATTTGAACTCTTCACCTTGATTTACTCTAAGAAACTCGTTTTTCCTATAAATTGATTTCTATTGGTCACTGCTCAACTAATGGAATTTCGAGGCGAATGGAACACAGATTCGAGTTCTCCACCCCAGAAAACCTCGAACTATCATCTCTGTGATCGGAAGATAGAGCTCTATTTATGGATCAATTAGAGCGTGGACAAAAACAGAACCGAATTCCGTTTAATTATCTTTGCAATAGGTGAGTTGACTTTCTTGTTTCCTTATGTTTTATATACCATTTTGTAGCTCGTGAAATTTTCCATCGAATGGTATATAATAGTCGGGGTTTTATTTGACTATGATAGGAAAAGTTTTTTACGAAGACAGAGAAGGGTCTATCTTCTCATAGGAAGCATAGGAGAAAATGACTATTTTTCCAATAACTCAGCAATGGCTCGGCCAATCATTTTCATCTTCGAACTCGACCGAGATATTGTTAAGACTAAACTGTGTAGAAAATTTCATCACGGTCGGACTCTCCTTTCGAAAGTTATCGTGTAAACGGCCGGACGGCCGGACACACTGACTGATTCTATAGTGTACTCACTTTTTGAGTACACAATAACTAACATGAAGTACTTTTGTTTTGGTCTAAATAATCTTATGACATTTATATAAAGAGAACAGAAAAAAATCCTATTTATTTAAATCCAGTCGTCTTTATTATTATCGTTACTGTTGCTTTATTTAACAAGTTTTACATAAGAATAAATGTGGAAATCTCGGATTTATATCCGAGAGTTATGTGTACTTCAAAAAGTGAATGAGACAAATTGGTCATCCTAGAATGTCTGAATATAAAAATTTGCGTGGCAAACCTTTTCTATAAACCCTTGAATTCCATTGCCTACTGTTCAACCGTAGGACTTAGGAGCGTATACAGCTCAAATTTCAACTGTTCGGCTTTATTTAGCCTCAGAAAGTCGTTTTTCCTATAACATGATTTCTATTGGTCAATACTCAACCAATGGAGCTTCGAGTCAAGTTTAGTGCAGATTCTAGTTCTCCACCCCAGAAAACCTTCGATTATCATCTCTATGGTCGAAAGATAGAGCTCGAATTGGTGATCAATTAGAGTGTGCAGAAAAACAGAACCGATTCTTCCCTATTTATCTTTGCGACAGGTGAGATAATCTTCCTGTTTCCTCATGTTTTATATATCATTTTGTAGCTCTTGAAATTCTCTATCGAATGGTATATAATAGTTGGGGTTTTAGTTGACTATGATAGGAAAAGTTGTTTACGAAAGTGGCGATGGGTCGATTTTCCCATAGGAAGCCATAGGGAAAAATGAGTATTTTTGCAATAACTCAGGAACGGCTCAGCCGATCCTTCTCATCTTCAAACTCGACCGAGATATTGTAAAGACTGAACTGTATAGAAAATTTCATCGTGATCGGACTCTCCTTTCGAAAGTTATCGTGTAAACGGCCGGACATACTGACCGATTCTAGAGTGTACTCACTTTTTGAGTACACAAAAATAATGTTTGTATCAACATGTAAAACATAGAGATTATTCCATATTTAGATTTTGTTCATAATTCATTTCGTATTGATCTTGAAATTTTGTAAATGTTAAGAAGTTAATTTTTATCGAAGGATGTCAATATAGAATAAATTGTGATTCGTATACCGGCTATACCTTGATTGCGGACATTTTTTTTGACTAATTAAGAAAAAACATCCGCAATCAAGAATCAGGGGGAGGGAGAGAGAAAATAATGTCCGCAAAGCAGAATCAGTAGGAGAGAAAAAGAATGACCGCATTGTGGAAACAAGACAAGATTTATTATATGAAAAAAATTACAGGGAAATCATTGTTGAAAAATAATTGAACATCTAAATAGTTTTAGGTTCATAATCATAATCATCTTTGTCAGCTGTATCAAATAAATGAATGTATCGATAAAAGAGTGGACGTAATTTCTTTTGATAATCACTGAGATTCAACAAACCGTTTAAATATTCTTCGTTTATCTTCTTCGCTTTAAATACTTTTATTCACAATGTATTTGTAAAAGCGACCTGGATGACATGTGACAACCAACTCTAGACTACCTCGAACAGGTTGATTTTCTTCCATCTAACCAGCAGTGTCACATCCAAAATTTTGGAAATGCATCCACGTCTAGCGCGGAAGATGCGGCATTTACTGCGAGAGATATGAGTGTGGGTGCGGGGGATGCGCATCTCTAAAGGAGATGA